CTGAGCTTGTCAGCTAAATTAAAACATAGACAGTCAGCAGGTTCACTTATTACTGTCGTGCACGTGTTCTAACATCAACCTCCCATCCTCAAAATTAACAAAGGGTACTTCATGCACTACTGACTGTTTTAAAAATCGACCACGTTATTTTAAAATCCAATTGAAAGATGGGCAAGCTATTTTAGAAACTAGTTTATCTTTTTTTCTTGCCTTGGAGCGTGCTTGGAGTATTGGTGAAAAAAACAGTTTGTGAAACTGCACTTTTTAATGCTGGAATTCGATCAATTGTTCAATTTTCTATGATGTTTTATTTTATTTTAAGGACTTAAGAAAATCTTCACGCTGTCACCTGTCCATCAGCCGCCAGTGTTGAAAAACATTAAAACAAAATCACCAAAGAATGACAGTTATTGATGATTCTTCACGCACCTTTAATATAATATAAGTTTGTTTCTGATCAGTTTTTGATGTTTAACTTTGATGTTGAAGAACTTATATCAATGCAGCTATGGTTTGTAAATGCTAAAAACATCTTTGCCTTTTTTATTTGAACAAAAATGTTTTGCGGCGTCTCAGAACAAGGAAGTGTGTGAGACTCCTCTCCACAGAGGTTTCTCTGTGCCAATGTCTGAATGTGAGGTTGGCCAGAAAGATGTACAGATTCAAATTGCTGCCGCCCCAACGTAGAGGTGATGGTTATGTGACCCACAGAGCTTCCAGTCTATCAGTAAACATTTTCTGTGTGTGTGACGTGGTTAGAAACCGGGAAGCAAATCCAACACTTAGTGTTTGGCACTTACTTTCCAATGACAATGAGCAATCAAGAGTCTGAAATGTTAGCTCAGATGGCCTTGATCCAGTTGTGCAGACATAACATAAATCTCTCCAGAGTACCTTCAGTCATCTCACAGCACAGACCACCTGTGCCAAAGACGTCACACAACCAATTAGATGGTTCATAATGGCTACAGAATACTTAATTCTCGAATCCCACAGCAGTTTATAGTTGGACAATCTATAAATATCTTAGACTGGTTCCTCATTTTCATATGACCTGTTTTGCATAGGCCTCCTACAGTACGCCGCGGGTTTCTGCACAAAGCTAGAATTGTGCGCGCTATGAACTTCGAGAATGACCTAAATTAATCAGCAGAAGGGGTTGTTCAGTAGCCTTGTGGCTATGGCTGTTAGTTGTAGCTTAACATATAATTACATGCAAATGAAAAGTGTATCGGTTGCTGACTGTAAAAAAAACTTTACTTATATTATGGTTATGAGTTAGTCCACTACTGCTCACTATAATTGACGCAATGATTCATTTTTGGTCGGAAGGTTGGGCTATCGACTAGTGAGGTCGGTTATATCAGAATGTATGCATTACTACTTTGACACTGCATCACAGTTTGTAGACTCAAGATTATGAAGGGATATAATAATAATAATTCTTGCATTTGATATAGCACCTTAGCGTGGATTTGAGACGTCTCAAAGCGCTTCACAGAATATACTGTAAAGTGAATTGACTGTATATTTGTGGGCGAAACGCGGCAGCCAATTGCGCACAGCAGTGTCCCACAAACAGTCGTGGATTGAAGTGACCAATTTATTAATATTATTTTGTGTATGGTAGGGTAAAAGGGAATGAGATTATTTATTGAGGGGGAAAATAAATTCAAGCGGCTCGCAGAGCAATTGACTCAGCCGCACTCTTTACTGGCGTCTCCATAATACTGAGTACTTGTCTCTAGAGTTGAGTGGCCCTGCACTGAGGGAGGGGTAGTTGGCGGAGAAACCTTGCCTGCTTTGTGTTCCAGGCTTGTGTAGTTGGTGACAATTAGATCGGATGATGGATAAGTTGGACAAACTGATAAATCGGAGGTTGGCATTTAATTCAAAGAGTGGGTTATAAACAAGGGCCAAAAACAACAAAGAAGTAAAAGAAATAGCAAATAGAAAACTGGATCATGCATTATTAATGAAAGGAAGGCTTTCATTTTCCAGACTGTAATAGTGAATCAGGATAAATAATATAGAAAGATTGGGATTAGTGGATTGGTGGCAGGGATTTACTCAAGAGGGAAAATAATTAACCTTTTACATAAAATGCTAATCCTTTGTTACATTAGAATAATGAGATTTAGTTCCTTACAGTTCATTCTTTTTAAAGAATATGGGAGCGTGCCTTTTGCAAGATTAGATTTGACGAATGATCTGTTGTGGGAATGTTAATCATCTGCTTCAGGTCTGTCAGCGTCATTCAAACCCACAGAACCAGTAGCTTTCTTTCTCATTCTCTCACTCTTTCTCAGTCTATCTCTTTCTCTGTGTGTTTGTCTCCATCTTTTGCTTTCTCTCATTTTTTGTGTGTATGTTTGTCTGTCTCCCACTGTATGTATGTGTCTCACTTCATGTTTGTATGTTTTTGTCCTTTTATCGCTTTGTGTATGTGTACTCCTCTCTCTTTCTCGGGCTCTTTCTGTGTATCTCTCCCTGTGAATCTGCCCGTCTCTCCCTTGAGAGACTTATTAAGATGGCATGTTTGACAACGGAATTATGTAATCAAAGCCGCCTCTGTGGTGGTCTTGGTATTCCGGTTCCTGAGCCAGGCAGGTCCGCAGTATTCCAGGGCGCTGCTGATGACAGCACAGTGCTATCAGTGGCAAGGTTAGCTGGTTAGACCAGCAGTTACCCCATCACACACCCTGGGGTTCCCAAGCCTTGGCTCATGCCAACCTGGGCCTAATCCTTTCCCGAATTAGGTAAGCAGCGTGCAACCCTTCAGGGAGAGAGTGCGCATTCCATTTCAACATCCATCTCTGGAATTTCCACGTGTAGGTAGGATGCATAGAATTCTCAGTTTAGTTTGCTTACTCTCGAGCATCGTGATGAGTTTCCATTATGTATCAGACACCCATTTAACCCCCCCAAAAAATGAAGAACATAGATTCATGCTGGCCCTTCACCGTGGGTTGGCCCCACAATCTTGCTTGTGATGTTTGTGGAAGACATGGAAGGGAGGGCTGGTAGGAGGCTGTGTCTTCCGCGGCTTCATATAGAGTACTTTATTATCTGTACTTCGTCATCTGGGGCTAAGAGCAAGTCACAAGAGACTATCGAATCATGTAGGCCCTTCGGACATTTGATCCCATTCTCCCACACCACCACCCTACCATCTTCCCATTGCAGCATCAAGTTTCTTAAATGAACCCTGTCAATCAGTTTAGAATATTTCAAGTAAAATATAAAACACCAACACTGCGATTGTTTGTAAGGAACAGTAGATATTTATTTGTTCTCTCTGCTGCCTCACAAATTGTTGGTGTTGGATATGGAGGAATCTGCATACGATACAAAGATTTTCATGGGGCATTACGGATTATAAGCAGGTGGGACACAAAGGACTGTTCCTTATCGCTCAGTATGAACATAGTAATTTGCAGCTTGTTTTGCTGGCTCTGTAGATCTTGACCTAATTTAGAAATTGCCTGGTCTCTGGAGAACTTAATGGACTTCTCAAACCTATTGCAAGTAGAAATTGAACACAGACTTAGCTTTCAACGATTCCCGTGGTGGTAGCTTGATATCTGCGTAGCTGTGTGCTAGTATTCTTTCCACATTCTCTTTTCCCTCCCCACCCCATGAATACATAGCTTTCATGCATTGCCGAGGTCTATGCAGGTGGTATTTATTGGGCTGATAACATTTTCCGAGTAGTTTTTCATGTGGAATGTTGCAGGAAATGTGTTCTGGCACGACCAGGGAATGCGAAGCAGATGCGAGTATCTGAGCAAAGGAAGGTTACATTAAAAGTAATTAACTTCCTGAATCATTAACCCTGTTGGTGTGTGTGCATGTGTGTGGAGCAGTAGTAGGTTTTAAGTGCGACTGCAAAATAAGGTTCATGGTGTCAAACTTCAAGTGGTACATCAGAATATTCAAAGTGGTACGTGGGCTGCTAATCACTTCCTTTGCTTCTGTTTCTTTCATGGGGTTTTATTTTTATTCTAATAACACAGGCACCAGTAAATGAGCAGAATTGCTAATTCTGTGGTCGGTTTAAACTGTCTAATTTCCAAAGATACCCTTTGTCAGACAATGAAGTTTGGAACGGTTTGCTACACACCAGGACACTCAACAGTGACCTGCATTTCAAAGGACCACTGAAGACAGCTGTTCTCCTTTAAGAATGTTGCATATTTCCATGGGGTTACAGTATTTATTTCTAAATAATCACACGTTGTAATGTGTACACCAAGAATTTAGTAATCCTTAATAGACATTCAGCACTAATGAGCCAGCGTTCGTTCTTTCAGAAACTGGTTGCTGGTAGCTGCCCGCTTACATCTGTTTCTTGATGCTTAAGATGGGCTTAAGCTGTGTCATCTGCTTGCGAACATGATCTATGCCAGTTTGATGTGGGCACATCGTTAATTGGGGCATTCCTTTTAGGGGAATGTTTCAGGACCACTGCTTAAGTTACTTGATACATACCTTGCCATGCTTGCTGAATAACAGCTGCTATTTTTAGAGTGTGGTCTGAATGTGGTTCAAGCAGAGCTGCTCGTTCCTTTGCATGTAAGAATAATGTGGGAAGGCTCACATGATTGTAGAATTGGTTACATGCATGATCCACATTAAATTGTTATCTCCTCAAAGCTACAGTAAGGTCATTTCCTCCAGTAGAAGTCTGTATGTCTTTCTTAGAATAAACCACGTGCTTGAGATCTGATGCCTGTATAAAGGATATGTCTATAATAATGCACAGGTGAATAAAGTCCCTGTATCCCTTTTTACTTCCCTCTGTGGTTCGTTATTAAGTGCTTTCGGTCATTCCGATGTGAAAGGCCCTTTACCAAATCCAAGGATTATTATTATTGTTTATGATTAATAGTCAAAGCTATTCTGCATCTTGTTGTGATGTGCATATTAATAAGCAATGTGGTTTCCTGCAGGTCAGTATGAGACCACTTTGAAGTCTGTTAAAATTACATATTCCTAAGGTCGGTCAGTCAACAGATCCTGTTCCCTTAAAAGCATTAGCTGATGTGTTGTTTTTTTCCCTCGCCTCCTCTTCCACAGATTTGACAAGTCGACAAGTTGACCTCAAGACCCAGTTGCAATGGCAAGCTCCACCAGGGAACACTTGCCCTTCAGCCGACGCAGAAACCCTCAGCTACGATACACACTGAGTCCTGAGAATCTGCAGAGCCTGACCTCCCAGAGCACTGTGGCCGAGAGCATGAACTTCCACAGAGCGAACAGCGACACGGACCTGGTGACATCAGACAGCCGCTCCAGCCTGACCGCCAGCATGTACGAGTACTCGCTCGGGCAAGCCCAGAATCTGATCATCTACTGGGATATTAAAGAAGAGGTGGACCCCACTGACTGGATTGGAGTCTACCACATAGGTAAATGGCCTGACAGTGCAAACATCTCCCTGGGAGGAAACAAGTTACGTAAGTTAGAAACGTCAAGGGTCGATCTGTGCTACGGGGGCGGGGAGATCCTGAGTGGAGGTCAGTCACTACCTCAGGGACCTAGTAACAGTCCCGTTATCAGGATACCACAGTCATTTACAATTACACCACTGGGTAGTGATTTGGGCGATTTCCATTGTGTTATGGAAACGTTGGAGTCTGAAGAGTGTTCTTGGATTCAAACAAACACGTACAGATAATGGTGACTGTAATTCGCTCATCCATCAAGATCCACTTTCCCTGAAATATTTTTACTTTACAAAGCAAACATTTTCCCCATTGTGAGGCTTTAGGGATCTTTGGTGTCCTTGGGTACTTTAAGGTGCCTCCCAAGTTCACCTACAAAACACACATTGTCACTACACTTTACAGTTTATCCTTTGAAGCGCATTGAAACATCCTCATGCAAAAGGCGCTTTATCAAATGTAAGGGTTGTAATTATTATTAGGATTATTACAGTGTGTAACTGGCTGTGAAAAGGTGATCACTGATTTGTTCTTCCCTCTCACTTTCTGGCACTACCCCAGACTGCGATCAGAGGAGTTACATTTCTTACTCTGTGACAGATCCATTGGGATACTGACAATGGAGGCTTTTCAATTCCTGAATGTAATGCACTGTAATGCACCTTTATCCAGAGCTGGTATTAGTTTGACAAAAGGACTGTTCTTCTCTGTTTGTTAACAGTGGGGAATCCAATATTCTGCACTGATCTATTCTGCTTCATTCACTAAACGTCTCCATACTCTTATAAGTAAGCGGTGACATTTTATTGCTTACAATGTAATTTAAATTTTTTAAATTTGATCACAGTTGCTTAAAGCCCACAGTCGCAGATTGACTAAATGTAAAAAGAGCTGAATAGCCTAGCGCACACCAAGAGATTTACTGTGTTGCATCATAAATGTTTTGCTGACTTTTATCATTTTCTGTAAAAAACTGTTGTGTTCCTGTGTGTTTCTTGAATTCGGTGAGAGAGGGAGAGAGAACTTGAAACATTACAATTTAATCTTTGCATGAATTAAAAAAAAATTACAGCTTTGCAAATTGTTTTGATGAGGACACGTTTACCAAACAGATTGGTAAACGTGTCCTCATCAAAACAATCTGTAAAGACTCACAGTGAGGATACTGATGCACCTTATCTGTTGCTGGAGGAATTAGTTGGCATGTTTGACCACACATCACCCATTTCATTTGAAAGGATTCTCATTTTGTGGAGCACTCTGAGATGCTTTACATGAAAGGCGCCACATAAGTGTTAATTGGTGTCTTCTCCTGCAGGATTTAGCTGACAGTTGTACAATCTCCAGTTCTGTGGTCTGCTGTTCGTTCGAATGAGGCCAGGGCAGCTGGGAGCATGTGTAGTGGTCAGACCATTTCTTGCCAGCCTTGTAACTTTTTCCGGTTTTTAAAATGGCACTGCACACATCAAACCACTAACGTGTTTATCGAGTGAGTCACCGACCCACAGAAAATGTGGAAACACTGTGCTCCATGCATTTCAGCTTTTGCAGCAGGCTTTGTAACGGGCTCACCAGCGGAATCTGATGGTACCAAACACAATATTTATCTGTAAACTTTGCCTGCCCATGTTGCACATCCTCAGTGGATCTTTTTCTGAAGCTGGTGCGGTTTATGGCTGGGCTTCGCTAAACCTTTAGTCCCTTTCTTGTCTTGCTTTATTTATCCCAGCACATAAAAATCAGTTGCTTGAATGACCTCAAGGATGTCCACCCCACTGCTATGAACATGTCCATTAGAAAATGCAACAGTAACAATTTACTGTTGGTTGGCTGCTTTCCCAGTCCGACACTTGCTTAAAGGTTATCTAAGACATTCTGTGAGTTCCACATATGGTATGTCAGTTTGTGTTAGGGTTCGCCCTACGCACTAGAAATTTCCCTTGTCTGGGAGGCACACACTTTCCTGGAAAGCTGCACCCTGTTTACCTATTTAATGGTAATAATTAATATTCAATAGCAGCAAGGGATACTGCAACCCACTGAATGCAGTAAGTTTCTTGTGTCGGGGACTTATTGAGAAATTGAAAAATTGTGACTAATCCATTCATATCCTGCTGTCTGGCATTTACGTGAAACTGGAAAAACTATTGACAGATGTTAGTTGGATATAAACTTCTATCTTAGTTTAGCAACTCACTGCCATATTAAGGTCAGTGGTCATGATCACTCACTGCTGATTACATTGCCCAGATCTTTGCCTAGACTGATCCAAGGAACTGGCCGTTTAATATGAAAATAAACCAAATTTATCCCTACAGAATTTCTTAACTAGAAAAGGACATAGATACTTAATTTTAAACAGATTAAATTTGAGGTAATGATTTTTGCTGGGCCTGGGGTTTCAGGCCAACTTCTTGCTCAGTAGATACCTAGGTCATTTTGGTCACTCAATCCAAATTTGGTCACTCAATCCATGACTGTTTGCGGGACGTTGCTGTGCGCAATTGGCTGCTGCGTTTCGCCCACAAAACATACAGTCAATTCACTTTACAGTATCCTCTGTGAAGCACTTTGAGATGTCTAGAAGATGTGATGAGACATTATATCAAATGCAAGGATCATTATTATTATCTAGCCGTCCATACACGTTCCCATTATATAGCAGCAGTTCTAAACTGATTTATGAAATACAAAGTGAAGTTATGAACGTCTTCTTAACAACATTTCAGATTATTGGATGTTGAGTAGATAATATGACCCCCTTTGAATCTGTACTGTCAAAAGCGGACAACTTTACTGTAGCTGAGTCCAGATGAACACATATGGTACCTCATCCGAGCAAAGACCAACCTAATTGTAATCTGAATGTAATATTTCATTGTCACCCAAGAATAATATGCCCCCAATTATCTGCTCCATTTCAAACACAGCACACTAAATCCAGTTAACATGCTGCTCTCTTCGGCCAAGTAATGGAGCTATGTTTCTGTAGTCTCCTCTCTGTAAAACCTCTGTGTTTAAACTATCGAGTGAGTGATTAAATGGGCTGCAGTGAGGCGATTTGCCATTTGATTGTTTCCGTCTGTATTTCGTGGAAATCTTGCTCCAAACATAACATTTCTTAGCTAAACAGTTGGATTTATCAGGATCCAATTGTGCTAAAGACTTGGCAAGACTCTGACGTGGTGTCCAATATTACACCTAAAGAGTTATAAAATAACTGGTTTAACCATTTAAAATCTCAAGGCTATGGGAATGGAAATCTATATTGCATTACACTGGTATAATCATCTACGTTGGGATCATTACTAAGACAAACTGTGGCTCGAGCCACACTATAAGCTATCCAAACTCAACTGCTCCATGTTCTTTGACATGTTCTTTTCGTGTTGATTCCACCAGGCTCCAGCTCAGTGTCTGACAGTGTCTCCTACTGCAAAATGACAGGGAGCCAATGAAGTCTGGTAAGGATCAGATGTTGGATACACAGGAACTATTGTGAGACAGAATATAGGCTTTGGAGGTCTGGATGAGGTCTGGAACTTGTAGAGTGCCGAGTTTTCAATGCCTTCATGACTTTGACCCACATTGTCTCTGGGATCTCCTCCAACCCTTCCACTCCCTCCAATCAGCAGGAATGCCCTCAGTCACTTTGCCCTCACCCTTTGGAACTCTTCCAAAATCCCTTTGCCTTGCTCTCTCTCTTACCCCCCTCCCCACTATAAAAACCCATCTAAAGACCTATCTCTTTGACTGCGCCTACAGCTATCTCCCTCCTTTCTAGTTCCGGCTTCTCTCTGTCTTTATAAAGTTTCGAGACATCATTACATGTCAAAAGACATGTGGAAAATGCTGTATAAGTGCTGTATTCAATTTCTTGGGATCAGATTTGGATAGTTTTACTTTTCCTCTTCTAATTCTTGTCTTGCCAAATTCTCTCTTGTCAAATCTCCACCATTTACTCTCTCTCCCTCCCTCTTTGAGCCTCCCACCGATCTCCCCTTTCCTGATTTGAGATAACTACACTTGTTTAGAGTTTATTCCTCATGTTTATCTCTGATCTCTCTTCGTGTTCAGTAACTTTCTCAGCCACTCTTCATGACTTGGCTCCTGCCTGACAGTTTGCCTCTGTTTGTGTGTGGATTTTCTTCACGCCAAGATACGAGGAGATATTGGTCGAGAGTTTTCAGATGTTCTTTTACACAAAGTGAATGCAACGAATGCAAGTTGCTTATTGACAGAGGGCTGCCGAAGCCTCTCTTATGATGTGAAAATAACTATTCTTATTAAAGGGAAAAGATATCGGTTTCACACTCAGGGGAGTTTGGATTGGCCTATTTCCCAGTAATGTTCTCTGACTCACTGGGTGGCTGAGAGCTAGAGATAGCAAATATTTGTTCAAGCAGCTTAGTTGGGAAAAGGGCATAAAATAGTTTGGGCTGGAGTCCTGCATGTTCTTATTTATTTTAATTTCCCTCCTCCCCCGCTCTGTTTGGTACTTGGGGACAAAATTTTACAGAACATCAGAATTTACCAAGGGCAAGAAATATTGATCTTCCGGTTGGCTATCACATTGGCTCTACATGTGGAAACATCTTGAGCACTCCACACAATGAGTTATTTTGAAGTGTAGTAAACATGACATAGAATTACACAGAAAGATACTGAAACCCGGAATTCGGTTGTGAATGACCAATTCTTTTTTTCATCTGGGGCATTTTTAGCTAGACCTCCTCTTTTTGAATAGTGCCACGAGATCTATAAAATCTACTTGAACAGGAAGGTGGGATCTCAGTTTAACATATCGTCTGAAGAATGGCTCCTCTGACAATGCAACACTATCCTTGTACTGTACTGGCGTATCAGCATATAATAATAATAATGTTCCTTGCATTTGATATAGGACTTCACCGAATATAGAGTACTGTAAAGTGAATTGACTGTGTATTTTGTGGGTGAAACAC